CGGATCCGACCTCTGCATCGTCACCGCTGGGGCCCGCCAGATCCCCGGCGAGTCCAGGCTCAACCTGCTCCACCGGAACGTCGCCCTCTTCCGCAATGTCATCCCGCCGCTCGCCAAGTACTCGCCCGACACGATCCTGCTGATCGTGTCGAACCCAGTCGACATCTTGACCTACGTGGCCTGGAAGCTGTCCGGGTTCCCCAGCAATCGGGTTGTCGGGTCGGGTACCAATCTGGACTCTTCGCGGTTTCGATTCCTCATTGCTGATCATCTTGATGTCAACGCTCAGGATGTGCAGGTGGGTTTTGATATGAAATTTCTCTGATGATTTTTTGGTTTATGAGTATCAATTTTGGATAAAACATGGTTCTGTTTTTTCGTTTAGTATATGTTACTAGAGAACGTAGAATCATTCGCCCTTAATTAGACTAGAGAACGTAGCAAACAGAAGAAAAGACATAAAGTTAAACAACAATCGCCTAACAAATAGGAAAAGAGCGAAATAGTATCCAATCAATAACTCATGATAACAAATTATATTTTCTCGCCTATTTACTACGGCGATGAATAATCAAATTATCACTATATTTATTCCTTTTTCTACTTCATATAATTTTCCTTGATATTGATACTTTAGCGGTATTCTGTATTCTCACACCCTCATATTTTGGTAACACTGATAATGGAGACAAACAAATTCTTTTTTGAATTTTTTTTTGTAGATATTAGTCCAAATTTTCATGTAATTTCTTGGGTAGTTGATATTTTAATTGAAGTTTCTGTATTTTAATTAGTAGATAAAACCCCAGATTTTAATGTAATTTCTGGGCCATGATCATATCTTGCTTGATATTTCTATATTAAAGCAATTTCTGTATTTTTATTATGGAATTATGGGATTGTTTGTAGGCTTACATTGTTGGGGAGCATGGTGACAGCTCAGTGACATTGTGGTCGAGCATTAGCGTAGGGGGAATGCCGGTGTTGAGTTTCTTAGATAAGCAAGAAATAGCATACGAGAAAGAGACGCTAGAGAGCATCCACAAGGTGGTTATAGACAGTGCATATGAGGTGATCAGTCTAAAAGGATATACTTCTTGGGCAATCGGGTACTCTGTGGCCGCGCTAGCTTGGAGCATATTGAGAGATCAGAGGAAGATCCACCCGGTCTCGGTGCTTGCCAAGGGGTTTTACGGGGTGGACGGTGGAGATGTGTTCTTGAGCTTGCCGGCCCAGCTCGGGAGAGGTGGGGTTTTGGGGGTTACCAATGTGCATTTGACTGATGAGGAGGCTCAGAGGCTGAGGGACTCGGCTAACACCATCTTGGAGCAGCAGAGTCAGTTGGGATTATGAATTTGATCACCAAGAACGTGGTGGGATTGATATCTCATCAATCTTAGTTCTCACTTCGCTGCTTCAGTTTGTTCGTTTCCAAGGCAACAATTGTCCAGTTTTTGGCTTCAACTAACAGATGGTCACTTCACGTTGTATTGCGGTTTTGGCTTCTTACTGTCGCCTTTTGTTTTGTTTCTCATGTAATAAATATTTAATCATGCAGTTGGATTATATGTCTTTTAAGACTAGTTTCTATATTTGAATTGAAACTATCTTTGAACGGAACTAGGATTTATACCTCCTTTGATTCTCTGCAATTGCTTCGATAGAAATATTCTTGCTCACCGCTTTGACCCCAGGTGTATCATCACCATTCTTCTCAAGACTTGACACGTGTTTATGAGCCTAATCATGATTAGCTCTTTGTTTTGTATTTATGGAACTATGGTTATACTCATGGACAGTGGCGTAGCCAGGAATTCGCTCAAGGAGGATCAACATTATTAGCCAAGATAAATGGAAAAGCCATACCACCACCAGACTTGGACTAGGATGGTTTAGAGGAGAAGAAAAATGCATACAAGGATGTGCCATGAGAATAAAACTATGAGATAATAGATTAACAACCTAAAATCTTAAGTATCCATTGTTTTTCTACATAAATATTTTAGAATAAGTTCAATTATATAAGAAAACTTTGATGGTTGTTAGCTAAAGTTATTAGCTTAAAATTTAATGATTATTTTTTTTGGTACGTATACTTACAATTTCTATAGTCTTTGTAGAAATAAAAGTAAACATTAAATCATATAAACCACGCTAGTTCATAGCTCCATAGACTAATTTTCAATAAGTTTTAACATAAACCAAATAGGGTTTAACATTATAGTGGATTAGGCTTTTTACCTAGATTGACCTTAGTTCCTTCATGCATTCATATCATACATGAAAAATTGTTTTATGTAAAAATATTGACTAAGTATGAAAAATGGGTTTTCGGAATAATCATTTTCTGAAGATAATTTTTGGCAGCTTTTATTCCTCACACATCAAATAAGAAAACTTGATTTTATGAAATTTTAGTATGAGCCATCATTTTTAGCCTAAATCGTATTTTACACTAAAACCGATTTTTCATATTTTGATTTGGTGGGAATTTGATTTTCTAGTATTTTTATTTGAATCCAAATGGGGGGTACTTCCTTATTTACATTGTAAACTTAAGTAAATGGAGTAATATAAAAATAAATAAAAGTAAAATGACAAAGACATTTACTTAAATGTTGAAAGTGGAAATAAAGTAATCTGTCCACCGTCACTGACTAGGCTACAGGCCACTGTAGCCCTTAGTGTGGTTCCGCCCTTGTGCTTCATGCATTCTTTTCTCGAGGTCAAGTTGAAAATAATGAGCAAACAAAAGCCTAAACTGTAAGTGTTACCATTGGGTCAGAAGGGTCATATGACCCTCCTAGGCCTTAATTGGCTCCGCCCTTGCTCATGGATGTGTGTCAAGTGTTGAGAAAAGTGGTGATGGTACACCTTGGGTTAAAGTGGTGAGCAAAAATGAGCTGGCCAATAATTTAGAAAATGTAAAATATCAAATTTAAAGCATACGGAAAAACTGGTTTGGTTGAGCATTTCCAAAAGAAGAGGCAAATGAAATAGGTAAAATTGTACTATAACAACTTAGGTGGCATATTGCCTATCCATTTGCCTCGTGAAAAAAGTTGATCACTCCAAGAGACTAGGCAATACAAGTATACAAATCATTATTATATTATTTATTTTTATCTTTATATTTACTATTATATTTTATAGAAAGTAGGTGAGAGAGTTGAGATGATATTTTGTTATAAAAAGCAAGTGGCACCTTTTCACTTTGAAGTAGGCAATATTGCCTTATTGGGTAGAGTAGGTATATTTTGCCTACCCATTTGCCTCTTCTTTTGGAGCATGAAAATGCTAATATGGCAAGGCAAATAAGTTTTACCTATTCTTTTGCCTCTTCCCTATAAGATACTCACCGAAACTTTTTCCTTCACATGTATTCGAGTTTCTGGTGAGACATTTCTGGCAAAGAGAAATGGCTTATGATCCAAAAATGATTTGTTCCTCTGCCTCTATGTCCTGATTAATGGATTTCTCTTTGGCCATGGATCAGGTTGATCGCCTGAATGGTTTTTCAGTTAGTTTTTTTTTCTCTGAAAACTTGAGCCGGTCCAGCGAAAAAATTAAAAAAGAGAGAAGGTGGGCTGGTTGTTTCCTTGTTCTAAATGGGCTTTACCAAAGTGAGGCTTTTAATTCTTGTTAACAAAAACCACTTAACTTAAATTTTTTTAGCCCGTATTAAACTCTCGTAAACCAATCACAATCTGTACGTAAGTTCGTTAAGAGCTAATCGATGGGCCATGTAATTTGGCACAATTATTTTAACGGCCCAAAAAGAAAACAATTTTCCTTTTGAATACAAGCGACAGTTTAAATTATAAAAAGAAAAGGATTTCTCACACAAACTACCAAGATGCCATGAAGGTTTGAACTTGAGACCACTAATATGCAAATCAAGACCTTTTTTCATTGAGCTGTCCTTTGACAAAGAAGACAATTTTATGAAAAGACTAGACGAAAGTATATTGGTCTTCTCTTTTCTGGTCTTCAAGCATGGCATCTTCGTCTTTCCCAAAGACAAAATTGAAATGACATATCTAGCTAGCTAGCTAGCAAGATCCATCATGAGAAAACGTATTGGCTTATTTCATTGTGAGAGGTTGTCTGAGGTTGCTTCCCCATTTGAGGTATCCGGTCATTTACAAGATGTTTACATCTCTACATTTTGTGCTTATTTAGAAGTGTTTTTATAAGTAAAAACAACTTTTATAGAATCACAAGCGATTTTTCTAAGAAAATGTTAAAAGTGCTTTTCGGTTCTAAAAATATGACGTGTTTCTAAGTGTTTAGTTTTTACTGTGCTTCCTACAAAAGTAGTCCAAAACGGACCCTTAATTACTTTAAAAAGATGTGTCATCACCGTCTTATCTTTTGGACAAAAATTAGGAAACACACAAAACAAGAAAAGCAATGATCACCCAAATCAACTGCCACCTTTAAATTTTGTGTTCATGATAGAATTAGAACATCAAATATAAAATCAATTGACACTAGGTGGAGAGCCTTAATTAAGATCTATAATCTTACATATTCATGTGGTGTAAGGCTTTACTTTCTCAGGTATAAGATAATACTCTCAAAATTTTAACTCCGAAATTCTTAAATTCATTTTGAATTAATGTTTATACTCATTAATTAGGTTACATTGGAAGGAATCTAACCAGACCTAAGACTAACCTGCTGGATTTTCTGAGTAACCAATGAAATATATATAGAAATATATGACCGATGTCGACAGATACAAACGAAATGGGACCATAAGCATGTAATTAAATTACAACATGATGATTTATAATATTTTTGTATAAGCAGTTAACCTATATGCATATACAGATACAGTACTCTGTGGTTATAAAATTCACTGCATGTTCCAAACGTATTGTACAAGTTTGGAACCTATATGGTTTATATACATATATTATTATTCAGAAGTGATGTTATTATTAAAAATTAACGAGGGAGCTTAATTATTATAAAGTTGGTTTTAGCTGTATTATTAGACATTTCGTATTCTATCTATAGATTATTATTTGATTACCAAATTGGTGTTTTCAGAACATGGCATGTATAAAATTTCAGCGATCCTGATCACTTCAGTGATCTAATCACAGAGGTCACGGACGGGGATAATCGGACTAGAAAGAGTCAAATTGGACAACTTAACAATTCTATATATAATATAAGACACGCACGGATGCCACCACACTTGATATAGTTTGATATTTATCAATCAGTGCTTCTTCTTTGTCATGTATTCGCCGAGATGTATAACCACCACTACTATTACGTACTATTTTTGAAGAAATGGTTGGTACATTAAAAAGGATCAAATTCAAAATAAATCGAACATCACATTTATTCAAAATCTACGTCTATTATGAATGGTTGGTACATTAAGAAGGATCAAATTCTTAACTCGTCATAATCCTTAAAATCGTGCCTCATGTAGAGTAAATAGATAACTGGAATATGATTGGACAAGGATTTCAATCCCAAATCTAACTAATAAAATCTTGTAGCATAAGTAAATTAACACAAGGATTTTTGTACCCAATGGTACGAGGAAAAAACCCAACCGGGAAAAACCTCTAGAAATCCACTAAGAATGGACTATTACAAGACTCAAGAAGATAAACTCTAAACAAGAATCTATCCAATACTTTTGTCTTGCCTTACTTAGTCCTTGCTTGAACTCTCTCGAATCCATGATTCTCACGAACAAGCATGCTAGCACACAGCTTCCAATAGGGGTGGGCATCAAAACCGGAATACCGATACCGTCCCGAAACCGTGCCATTCCGTGTCAAACTCGTGCCAAACCGTTTGGTGTTGATGCTTAAACGGGATGAAATCGTGTCATCCCGTTACTGTTTGGCACGACACCGGTATCAGATTTGTGATCCCGTTTGGTGCCATACCGTACCGTATAGTAACTAATTAATATTAAATAATAAATATTAAAATATTATTTCCAAAATTTCAGATTTAATATATCTCTCACATCTCTCTCTCACACGAAGGAACGAAAGATTTTTCAGATATCTCTCTCTCTCACACGAACGAACGAAAGATTTTTCAGATCAGAAGCTTTTTTCCTCTCTCCTTCCCTTCCCTCCACCATCGATTCGAATCCATCTCAAATCTCAATCTCCTCTTCTTCTTCTTCTCTCTCTCTCTCTCTCTCTCTCTCTCTCTCTCTCTGTGTCGAAGTAGAACCCTAATAACCAAACATCTCTGTGTCGAAGTCGAATCGAACCCTAATAACCATCTCTCTCTGTTTGACATCAAACGTGCTTCTCCGAATTTCTGTGGGATCTTCTTCTTCAAGCCCATTACCCTCTGCTACCAATTTCAGTCCGATCTCAGATTCTCAGGTATTCATAATATATGGAAACTTGTTTTGGTTTGAAATTATTTGTTTTCAAATTTGAGAAATTGTTTTGATTTTGGGAAGACATGAATCTATTAATTCCATATGGTATAAATTCTCTTATTATTTAGGATGGATTGGTTTTGATTTTGGGAAGACATGAATTATTGACATGCATATGGGCAGTGGGCTAGGCTACTGTCAGTTTATGTATATATATATGATACTTCTGTTCTGTTCTTAAAGAAGTTGAGTGGGATTTGTTCTTAAAGAAAAATATTAAATAGATTCAAGACCATCTCCATTGTCAGTGTCCATTGTCCAAGAAGAACACACCATTTCAATTCAACACACAATTCCGTAGCATTTGCCAAAAACACTTGCTGTGCTCAGATTTCAGGCACAACTACCTGTCCCTTTTACATTATTATCTTCTTTTTCTTAAACAAGTAATACAACGCTTGTAAGTTGGGCCACTCCGTTTCCCTTTTCTATAATAACCCACCTCCTAATTCATCACCCCAAACCCATATATGATACTTCAAACATATATGATACTTCTTTTTTTTTTAAAAACATTAATATGTTTCTGTACATGGTTTCTGATACTTCAAACATATATGATATTAATGTACAGAAACCATGTGCATATCTGATACTTCGTGTTCAAATTAATATGTTTGATCTCCTAAAATATTAAATAGACGGTTTTTTTTTTGTGACAGTCACAGAACATATCTGATACTTCTGTTTTTTTGTGACTGTTATTTGATGCAGCTTTGCAGGTATATTATGCTTGCATCTGCAGCTATTGCAAAGGATATTCTTGCCATTCAAGTATCAACAGTGGCATCTGAGAGTTGTTTTAGCACTGGGGGAAGAGTAATTGATGCATTTAGGAGTTCATTAACTCCTAGATCAGTGGAGGCATTGATATGTATGCAAAATTGGTTGAAGGGAGATGACATTTGCACAAATTTAGAAGATGAACCTACTCCTGAAGAATATGAGTTTTATGAGAGTGTTGAATTAGGTATGTTTACTATGTTTATTAATTATTACTTTATAAAGTTTATAATGTTGCATTTATTTTTAATTTGAGAGTGTTGAACATGTGTGGATTTATTTTTTGCAGAATATGCAAGTACTGAAGCTACTGCCACCAGTACAAACACATTTCCTGCCACTAGTACAAACACATTTGGTGTAGATCCAAAGGGAAAGGGACATGCCATTTAATATTTCCATTTCTTGCTTTGAAGTTTGTACTTAATTTGACTTGATTTGTTTTGTAAAAGTCTATGTGAGAGATTTCCATTTCTTGCTTTGTAATTTGACTGTTGAAATGTCTTGAACTTGAACTCTTGATTGATTGTTTTGTTTGTTATTAGATTTGATTTTCAGATTTGATTGAACTTGAAAATTTGTAGATTTGTTACGGTATCAACATTGATACCGAATCATACCGATCCCGTTTGGGT